TTGGATGTAGTTTATCGTCACACCCAGGACGCAGATGTAGTTTATCGTCATTAAACACGAAAGGAATGATCTGGCAATTACTTAATTCCCAAATAATTATCCACCTATGCCTCTTGCAAATTATGATCGGGTCTGAGTTCTCTTAAATAATGGTTTAATTATTTATTCCAATCTTTCTGAACTGTCCCTAAATACGTATTGGCTGGCCACTCATATTCGAGGATACACATTTACTAGGGCGGCTATCTAATCCTTATTGCAGGCTCTTGCTCAGGCGCATTTTGTGTTTGTTCCGCATCCACAGAACCCACCTTTTGTTTATACTGCAACTATGCTGAGCGGACCTTAGTTACAGTTTCTGGGAATGAAGCGTGTTATCAAGCGTGATCAACAATCAGAACAAGGCCAGCACTTTCAAACCCTCGGTCACGATGACTTGTGACTTCGTGCTAGGGTTCCGTCTACTCAATTTCACTCACAAGGCTTGGGTCAACCCGTGGTATGGTCAGATACTTTCCAAAGGTGCCGCAAGCTGGGATCGCCTCCTCTAGAACGATAACATCAAGAATTCTCCTTCCTGCCAAATCGACCCTTGTGAGATTCGAACCCGGGTCTCCTGGTCGGAAACCGAACGTTCTAACCATTCGGCTATTAAATACGACACTCCCGAGAAATAGTATTCGAATGGGCGTGCTAGAAAAAACTCGACACTCGGAGCACAATGTTAAAGACAGATCTATATGTTTATGTGTCGATAATGTCTATTTGTAAGAAGCCATGTGTGTCATTTAGATGTTCTGTCTTGTCACGATGAGCGCAGGAAATTAGATGACAATTTAATTATGACACACGCGACTACTTACACGCACATACACAGCAATACGTATTATACTACGGTAGTCATATACATTATGAATGACACACACATAACAGAATAGTCTTATCAGTTAATTATTACACGTAATATTACTTGGGGATATATGAGTAACTAAAAATTAGATAACGAATAAATTATAGCTCTTCAGTTGACATGACTAACGGCGGCTAAGCAACGTGTCAAGGTGACTGCGAAGTGTAGTATTCATAATGAAGGTCTATTCTGGTATATAAATTATTATGATATATACTGTTACGATGTCTTTTCTACAAATATTTTAATGGCAACTGTTCTGATGAGTTTTTCGCTGGGGCCCCGACTGCATGAATTTAACCGTACCACAAGATTGACATCTAGGTCCCACTTATTTACTGTCGAAATAATTAAATATAACCGCCACTTTTACTCCGACAGTTTCTTTTCTCGCATTTCCCGCCCGTGGAACTTCCTTGTGTTTCCTTGCTTACCTCACAACTAATCGCCATCTTCTGTCTTCTTGAATTCCGTTAAACATTTGTCCTTTCCTCAATCCACCCTATCCTCAGTCTTTTCTCTCATTTTCACTCTCTGTAACCCCTTTTGTACTAGTGGCATTCCAGTCTTGTTTGGGGTGAAATGATTAAAAAAATGCATATTTAAATACTATTACATAATACCTTTATTTTTAGCTTATTTTTTTACATGTGCATATAATTGAGCCATAGAAGGTGCAGTTCCAGTCATCGCTCAATGAGGTCAAATTTAAATACACATGGAGACCTACTAAACTCCATCCTCAACATACTCGTTGATAATACAAATAAAATGTGTTCCAATAACTTGAACCGATTTTAAATATGAATCAAGTTTAAGCGTCTAATTATTTTTTCTTTTCTTTCAGATGTGGTGGATATTTAGTCGATATTATTTTTCACACACACCTGTCATGACTTAACTAACATAATCCAATAAAGAAATTTTCACCAATAACACTGATTTATTTACTGTTGACTTTGATCCGTCTTAATGAAACACCCTTTTCCACATATATACTTATATATTGATTTATCCACATACTTAAATATTGATTTATCCCCATACTTATATATTGATTTCATATATACTATTATGGTATACACTTTTATGTATCATGGTATATACTATTATGGTATATTCTGCTATAATTATTCATCGCGAAAATGCTATTATTATTGTAACTTCGTACTACCTACTGTATGGTAAATTCATCGATGACTAAATCGGTTCCCCAACCATGATTTTCTGGTCTGGATGCTGGCTATACACCGAATAAGATTAAAAATAAAACCTGTCAAAGAACGAGTGAACATTCTGAAACGTTAGCGGCCATCTAGAACAATGCAGTAGGCTGGGCTCCGTAGCTATGCATACAGCCAATGCGGTAATAACACGCTATCGATGGACGGAGGGCTTCCCAGACTGAAGGCAATGGTCAGGGTACTGGGTTTCATCAATGGAATCAACGGCCACGTGTCAGTGATTAAGGCGAACCTTCAACTTGGAGGACGTTGGCTGAGGTTTGAATTAAAGGTTGGTGAACTTCAGCAGATCTACTTGTTCAAAACACGCCTGAGAATATTTCTCTGGCTTTCAACCCAGATATGTGGAAGGGACGGGTCAGGTGCTTCGCTGCGCAGAGACTCTGTGACCCCGACCTAGTCATGGGATTGATGATGGTAATTTTCTAAAGGCCCAAAGTATAGGGCACCTCGTGATGTGCGAACTTCTGAGTCGTAATTGTTCTTGCAAGACAAGCTTGCTAACCATTACACCACATCGGGGCACCCTTGATGAATGTGATGATGATAAGGACTGAATTCTGTTTGTTGAATTTGACTGCATAGATTTTAGTGTGGTGTGTTCTTTATTGCAAAATGGGACTTTAAATCTGGCGGGTTTAGGTGCTAACAGAATGCATAAAAATCAGCCAGCTGTTTCTAGAGCCAAATTCGAATCATTTTTTTCTTTTTTGCAAAAAAAAAAAAAGAAAAAAAGAAGACGTCAGCAGTAAGAATCATGACAAACGTACGAGAGGCTTAGAAGTCTGCGTCTATATCAGCATATGTCATAGATGTCACTACATATACCAGTTTCACTCTAACAGACTTTGTTGGCATTAAATAAGCATTTGAGGTTGATATGCCATAAAACAAAACAAATAAACAAACACACTAACAGAGCACACTCCACATAACAGAGGTAAAACAACTTTTTAAAACAAAGTTCCCCCGTCACATGCTCCAGAGCCACTCATGGCAGAGTGATAATGAAGTGTTCGATGTGAATGCAAGGGGAAATAAACAGAAGGAAAGACCCTTGACATGAAGAGGCTAAAGTTGTAGCGTTGAGGAAAATATCAAAGCGAGAGTTTGTTTCACATAGTAAGAGTTCTCAAGAAAATGTTGAGTCGAACTGCTTCATTAAAATTGGAATATGGGGGAAACGTGCGTGATTCGACAACGCGGATGTTTCATAGTGTGTCCTAATATAACGGTCAGGTGGAAAAAAAGGTGGACTTCATCTGAGCATTTGCCATGGAAATAGCGACGTTGCGTCTATGTGAAAGAGGCTGCGGAGTGAAGTATGTCATTCCCCAACTCTTTCAAAGCTAGAAGGTGCTGACTAACTCCATATTTGGTATAAGCTGACATTTGGAACGCTAATGCATGGCAGTAGGAGTCAGGTACTTTCTGGAACAATAAAGGAGCCGACCATTTTTTCCAGCATCTTTAATGATGGATCGTATATAGGAGTTCCACTTAAGGTCTTTGGGGAACACGAATCGTAGTAGAGCCTCCTTGAGAGTGAAATCGGAAGAATGATCATGGTCGGATTGATGATGAAGAAATTATTATAAGCTTGGTTTTAGATGCATTAAAAGTTACATACCAGTTTTTATTCTTCAACCACTGATAGGTCAGCGTAGAGAAGAGAGTTAAGTATTATGTCCAAAGAGTTAAGCGTTACTCACAAAGTCTTAATTCAGTCAGTTATGTGCTATGCGTGATAGACGTTTAAGCGATCACGTATCTTTCGATACATGACTGACGAGGCAGATTTTTCCCGCAGTAGGTTGCCATTTCTTTTTGTGGTAGACCAGTTGTCATCCGAGGCTATAAAATCTACTATTTACCCACAGCTGGGTGGAGAAGAAGAGGATCCATACCTCTCCCAAGCACGTAAATGAATGTAATTCGACTGGAATTCGAACTCGGCTCTACGATTCCTCAATCGGAGCCACTATCCATTACTACACCGTGCCTCCGTGTTAAGTGTTATTACTCCTATAAAGTTAAGTAAAACTCTCAAAGAGTTAAGTATGACTCCCAAAGAGTTAATGATTATTTCCAAAGACTTAAGTTTTACTACTAAAGAGTTAATTATTAATCCCAGGCCGAGAATATGGACCACCCTATTCTGAGACAAGCTTATGAAACGATGGGTCTGTATATTATTGTTTTCTGAGCGTAGGTTATATGTAGCACAAGGTCAAAAGTTTGGGGAACCCAATAAAAATGATTTTCTAAACGAACCTTAGATGTGGTACAAGTCTAAAAATATGGAGCACCATATGGCGAAACAAGCTTACGAAACGATGGGTCTGTACATGAGTTCCACTTGAGGTCTGAAGTGAACGTGAGTCCCAACAGACGTTACAAACATGGAACCTTGTTAAGAGTGAAATCGTTTATCGTGACTGGAGAATGATCATGGTCTGCTTCCGTAAACTTTGGTATCATCAGCATATATGTTCACCAATAAAATGAGAGGCGGGTGGTTAATTTTTTTTAAAAAAAAGCAGAAAGAGAGTAGGATCAAGAGGCGAGCCTTGAATGACTCCATCATTGAGCTCATATGCTTCTGACGACCAATGAAGATAAGGTCTGCAGTATAAGTAATGAATAACCTATTTAACAACCTTGTGTAAATGGTTAGTAGAACAGTGACAAAAAAAGAAAGAGAAACTGTAAAGCGTGAAAACTTTCCTATCTTCCTCAAGGGCATTTGCACGTAATTGAATAAAACGAACCTAACTGGAATTTGAACTCGGCTTTCTGATTAACAATTCCGAATCCTTATCCATTACACCAACGGCAGATCCAAGCTTACAGCACCTGGTATTCCCAAGCGGCCACCCATCTAGGTACTAACAGGGCTTGACGTTGCTTAACTTCGGTGATCGTAGAGGGAACCGGTATTTGAACGTGATGAGTCCGTAAGCTGAGAAAGTGGAGTTCATCTGAACATATGACATGGGAATAGCGATAGAGTAGTGATAGACTGTAGGAATGTGGCTGTAGAGAGGAATATAAGTCATCAACCCGAGGCCAGGCAAGCGCCTTTGAACTCTATCAAGTGAGTATTGAGCGACTCCAGCCTAAACATAACAGCAGTCCTCCATTTTTGGGGGTCTAATCTGACTTAGGACAGATAAAGCATGGTAGAAGGTGCCAGGTTCTTTCTGAAGCGCTACGAGAAACCAACAATTTTCCAGTATATCCAGCGATGGGATTGTATATGGTAGTTTTCTAAGCGAAGCTTAGATGTGGCACAAGGCCGAGAATATGGAGCACCTTACTCTGAGACAATACGATAGGTCCGTATATGATGGTTTTTTGAGTGTACGTTAGATGTACCACAAAGTCGAAAGTTTGGGAAGCTCAACGAAAGTATTTTCTAAACGAAGCTTAGATGTGGCATAAGGCCGAAAATACGGAGCACCATATGGCGAAAGAAGCTTACGAAGCGATGGGTTTGTATATGAGTTCGACTTGAGGTCTGGAGTGAATATAGTTAAATTTTACTCACAAAAGATTAAGCATTAATTACAAAGAGTTAAGTATTATGCTCAAAGAGTTAAGTATTACTCCCAAAATGTTAAGTTTTACTACTAAAGAGTTAATTATTAATCCCAGTTGGTTAAATGTTACTCTCAAAGAGTTATGTAAAACTCATAAAGAGTTAAATATACGTCCCAAAGTTAATTATTACAACCAAAGAGTTAATTATTACTCATAAAGATAGCTGATCGACAAGCATCAGAAACAAATGTGAGACCTCAAGCTGCCAGCAACACATTCCGAAAACATGACTTGTGTAATTCTAAAATACCGCTTCTGAAGTAATCACAGATGGGGGCGCGTTTAAATTCTCCTAAGGAGAGTTTATGTAAACGACATACCTACTGAAATAATATTGTTAGGTCAGATGAGACCAATACAGAGTTATTCAGTCTTAATTCACACCGTCAAGTCTAGAGGAAGAAGAAAAAAAACAAAAAACAAAAAAAAAAAAACTGCAAGGCAAAGTAACACCTTCTCATGTGTGAGGCATGGAGATGGTTATATGATGGCACTAGGCGATTTTTCACCACCTATCACAGGATGATTTCACATAAGAAAGCACATTTCAAGAAAGGTCAAAATCATGTGCTGAAATATATTGAAGAATATCATTACATCAATCAAGGCTTTACAAATGGAGGCGCTATTGGGTGCTTCAGCCGAGAAACTATTCTAAACTCGCTGTAAATTAAAGCAGTGGTTTGAAAATAATAAAATTAAACTACTGAAATGGCCTAACTCAAGGTTAAACATTCGCTAACATTTTTGTCATTCTGGTATTTTGAACGAAATGAAGAAGACCCTCTCTGAAAAGTGGTCGAAACACCAGTAGAAGAGTGTTTGAATTCATATCTATTAATAGGAAGCGACCTGATAAACTCTTTGGAAACAAAGCTTAGTCCACAATGGTTTAGGTATCAGAGCTAAGAACTCATCAATGAAAGCATTTATAGAAAAACACCGGAGTAGGTGGGAAAGTGATTGAAGCCGAGCTACCAGATCAGGACTAATAATACTGCGGATTCTTTTTTGGATTTTACTAAGGAGTTCAAGATAGATAGCAAGGGTATCGGACCATATGTGGCAATAATATTCTCAGCATGGACTTCTAGATATGTAAGATAGATTCTGGAGAGAATAATTGTCTCACGCGACACAGTGAACCAACTTTCTTAACAGCTGACTTAGCTAAGCATTCAATATAGTCTTTCCACTTCATGTCAACGTTACCCAGAGAAGGCGCAACGGATCAATTTGCGGAAAATGGTGAAGAGACTGAGAGGGAAATTACAGTAACAGTCAAAACTCCAAAAGAAAATCAAGAAATAGAAGTGGAATGTGATGCCAGAGTCAAGGGGATTATTTAAGAAATATTTCATGTTCATACAGGTTTTGCAAAATTATTATTTCCTAAATGTAACGGATGTCTTTCGAAAGGCCAGTCTAGTTAGATATATGCCATGTGTGATATGTGTCTTTCGAGGTAGATTTTTTTTCCCGCAGTAGGTTACCATTACTTTCGGCGGTAGAATAGTTGCCATCCAAGGTTATTGAACCCGGTCTGTCCTGCTATATACCCACATATGAGGGCGGGTAGAGAAGAAGCGGATTCATACCTTTCCTAAAGGTATTAGCACGTAAGTGAATGTAATGGATTCGACTGGAATTCGAACCCGGCTCTCCGATTCCTCAATCCAATCCGCTATTCATTAATCCGCCTTAGTCTCCATCAGTCTAGTATTGCGCTTAAATTCATAAAGTCTAGGTAACATAGCGAAGAGCTTATCCGAACAATTAACATGAAAGTATTTATAAAAAAAAGGCACAGAGAGGCAACCTTATAGCGGTGGGCAAGTGTAGCGGTGGGCAAGTGACTGAAGCCGAGCCGCCAGATCAGGACCAATAATATTGCTGATTCTTCTTTAGATCTTATCAAGGAGCTCAAGAGGCACTGGATCATATGTGGCAGCAATATTCTAAGCATGGACAAATGGTAGACTTATAAATATCCAAGATAGATTCCGGAGAGAAAAATTGTCTCGCACGACACAGTAAATCAATTTTCTTAGCAGCTTAAAAAATATAGTAAAAAATGTGGAGGGAACTGGTCAGGGGCTTAGCTGCGCAGCGACCACACCCAGTCATGGGGGTCAGGTCGCGTCCAGTTTTACAAACGGGTAAACCATATAATTTACTGTTCTCCATAACATTTGTTTCTTCAGCTTAGATTTGTAACTTTGTACTTTTCTGTTTGCTGGCATTCTAAAACACACTTGGATACGCATGCCGTAACGCATCGGGAAACAGCAAGAAACAAATGCCTCGACACCAATATATGTTTATACAGAAATAAAATCCTGTAGTCTTATAAGATGCTATTCGGCTAATTCCACGAATTTTTCGGGCTATTATCTTTATTATACGTCGTTTTGAACACAATGTTCAGACCTTCATTACAAGTATATGGCATCCGGTAATCATTTAGTGCCGTCCAATGCACACACACATACACATACACACACACATACACACACATAAACACACACACACACACACACACACACACACACACACACACACACACACACACACACACACACACACACATATATATATATATATATATATTTTCCAAGCGAAACTTGTATATATATTTATATTCAATAAACTGACAGCATAAAAAGTTTGAAACATCCTGTGAATTTAAAATTTAAAATTCGCGGGTGAAAATGATCATTAACTAATGGCATCTAAATTCCAATTGTTGGAAATAATTTGCTCTATTTAATGAAAATAAACATTGAGAGTTCTTTGTCAGTCAGTTTTAACATGTAATATTTCTTATTTTAAATTCTTTATTGTGTTAATAGGACTTGCTTAGATTATACCAACAGATTAATACCTATATATAGTCTCTTTTATATTAAACGCAATCGTTAGGCCATATATATATATATATATATATATATATATATATATATATTATAAATTAATTGATTTAAAATATTTTAAATCAATTAATTTATAATATTAATGCTCTGTAAATTTACATTGAGCACTATTTTGTAAAAATAAAAATATCTATAAGAACACCGGATTATATATCTTACTGTTCTTTCTTTATATATATATATATATATATATATATATATATATATTGTGTATAAGTGCACCAGATCATTATTCAAACATATTTTGTTAAATATAATAAATGTCTATTAAGTTTGATCATGAGCCGTTCTAAGTTTCGTAAATCATTTTAGTTTCAGGAGAATATGTAAAGAAAAAAACTGTCCAACATTTGGATATTTTTATCATGCTGTTTCTCGATTTAACGTTTCGGCTGAGATGGGCCATCATCAGAATGGTTATTTGAACCTTACAACAGAGTTGTTCACTATCAACGATGACATCGTGTTATGCTTACATAGATGTTTGCTGTGCAACGATAACAGTCGCGGAATAGCAGATGCTGGTTGTAAATTCGTAACGTGGTTCCATGACGTCGTACATGATCACGTGAGAGATAGAAATATTGTACAATTTTTGTCTTTAATTTCTCTCGGAACTAAAGCCACTATACGAAGCTTAGAACGGTCCATGATGAAACATAATAGACATTCGTAGTCTGTTATATATATATATATATATATATATATATATATATATATATACGCAAGCACGCACGCACACGCATACATATATATGCGTTGGGATCAAATTTAGATAAATTATAGATCGGAATCCGACAGAATGATAAAATAATTACATTGTAGCTTGTTCATAGCTGCTGACCGTGTTTGTAATATAAAACATTCCTATATATATATATATATATATATATATATATATATATATATATATATATATATATATATAACACATATCCATATATTTAGTTATAAGTAAAATAAAATTCATCCTTGGCTAAAAATATAGCCGAAAGTATAGCGCTTGGATATATAAAACATTCGTAGAATGTTTATATAATTTATGGCCTGAAAAGTAATAAAATTATGAGAACACATAAAAAATTATATAAAAACTTAACGACAACTTATGGGTCATTTTTTACGAAACTTACATAAAAAGAAGATATATATATATATATATATATATATATATATATATATATATATATATATATATAAGAAGAAATATAGTCTGAAGCTGTGCTATATTTATGGGATAAGAAGTGCTCAATATCAGACAGAGCGTGTCTAAATACAAAAGTGAATATAGAAGTCAACACTTAGAGGCGACAGTCTGTTTCATGTTAGACGCAACTTCAACCCCTGTCTATTGAGTATCTGTTCTTCTCATCTTTAATGGTCAGTCAGTTAAATGCCGTACGCGATAC